ATTGTTTCCAGGACTATTGGAACAATGGCAGTTAGTATCAGAGTATGCACTAGAACAGGTTAAGTTCCACTATAACAGGATAAATCTCATGGCTAGTGTTAGCAGTGAGTGATGCATAACCATAAGTCCAAGAAAGAAGCAGTTCAGCTGCCTGGCCGTAATCTGTGGAGAAAGCAGACCGTGATGAGTGAAATGCCTTTTTAGTCTTGGATAGAAAGTGCCCTTCCAAAATGATCAAAAGTGCCCCCGCGACACCCCCCCCCACCCCCCCCCCCCCCACCGCCCTTCGGTAGGCATGCGACAACACCGCTCTTGAGTATGTGCGCTCCCCCCCCTCCCACAGTGCGAGTGCGACAACGCCGCTGATCAGGATGCGCGCGACAACACCGCTCTTCATTACGCGCGCACGACAACAACAACCCCCCCCCCCCTTCAAAAAATGTATCCTGCACATGCCCTTTGGACAGGGACAGTCTCTGCACGGGCCTGGTGAAATGGCTTGAGACATGACCTGTGGTAAGTTGAGTATATACAGTAGTTGACTTGTCATTTCAGTAAGACAGTTACTTAGATAAATTAGCCAAAAATGAAAAAAAAGGCACCGATGTATCTTGAACTTAACTTGTTGCAGAGTAAGTACATCCATTTGTCCTACATGGAAAGCCAGACCAACTGCCCTAATTGATATAAGGAAACGTTGGATCATCGAACATCTGCCTGGGTTTACTGTTAGTAGTCTGCACTGCCCTTTGCATGTGATGATTAGCTTCATACCAAATTCTCTCGCTCTTCTGGAATAAGCAATGGAGAAATAGTAGTGACTTTACTGGTATTCTAATTATTTCTTGACTGATGGGAACAATGGCAGCTGGAATCTAGAGAATGCAAGAATGGCTGCCAGAGTGTGAAGTTTAACAGGGAAATTTCCGTGGCTGCTTGTTTCAGAGAGTTCTGGGCCCTAACCATAAGGACATAGAATGAGGGGGTTCCACTGTCTAGCCATGCTGTGTGGAGGAAGCTAACTGATGCGAGTAAAATGGCTTGTGGCTTGACATAAAAAGTTGGGTAAATATAGTATATGACTAGTCATTTCAGAAGGTGAGTTACTGCGTTAATTTGACAAATACATAAACCATTGTATGTTGGACTTGGACCAGGTTAATTTAATCTGATTATTCCATGTGAAAAGCTATACCAACTGCAATGATTGGTATTTGTGTGTCTTGCCTAATCAAACATCTGCCTGGGGTTCTGAAAAGGATCTGATAGTTTTGTGAAGGTTTGGAAGGCTTCTCGCTACTTGATAGAGTAAATGGACTTTTCATGGATTTTATATAGATCACAATGACTGCTATTGATTGGTAGGCTTCTCGTGGCTAGGTATTGTACATTGACTTGTTCACTACATCTCAAGTCAATTTGTTTGAGTTGCCACTTGCAAGGTGACTAATCACACTGTGTAGAGACTGGTATTTATTAACAACAAGTTTAATATACACCTTAAGGAATGATACAACCACAAAACTAGGTTGCACACTATGATGAACACTTTGATTATTGTATTAATTGAATATTCTGTGTACTATACTAAAAGCACAATTCTGTCAACAGCAGCTGTTGTTACATACTATTTTTTACAACATAAATTCATAGCCCGTCATTGCTTTGTTTTCAAAATAAAGTTGAAAGATATACGGAGTAGTTTACAACAGAAAATAGAGCTGAACTTAATAAAAGAGCTAACCTGGAAAATTGTGTAATATGTGTTAAACATTTAAAACATTTAATAAATACGTGATTGATAGATTGCAATGGCATACAAAATCAGCTTACTAAAAATAATTATTTGACTGTTACTGTAGAATTTATTCCTAATTCTCTATCTGGATATTTGAGCTGTGCTTTTACTGGAACACCAGTTCTGGTGTTTAGGGTAGAGTCTAATCTGGGCCTGGCTATGAGCCATTTCGTTCCCCTCTGACATGGACCCACGTGACTGTCTGTGATAGGGAGTGGTGTATAGATTCAGGACTCACCCCATACCTGAGTAAGTGATAGTGAAGTGTAATACACTCTCTTTGTGAAGCATAGATTAAGACCTGCTAAAGAGCTAGGAATTCTGCTAAAGAGAAAAGGAATTGTAAATTGTGAAAATGTATTTTCTCAAATGAAAATAGACTAATTCTAATCAATAATGTTTGAAAGCATTTGTTTTCAGCCAAGGCAGTTAAAAAAAAAATCATTGCTCTGTAGAATGATAACGATTTTTGGTGACGTCCTGCCTCTGGTTCATGTTTGTGTTCCAAAGCTTTCTGGAACAGTAGTAGGAGTGTAAACTTCATTAGTTTTGTTCTTACTGAGTCTGCACGATTTTTGACAAGTGCCAGTGAAGCTCATATACGTTTGTTATTCTTCAATTAAAATCTGACGCACAAACCACACTTAGAAAAAACAAATGGCTCTCATCTCATTACCTCCTACATTAGCACCTCTCTTTTTAACATGTTCAATCCAGCTCGCTTTCTCTGTCATTATACAGCTTTTTCTGGACTTGAATTAAATCCACCTCTTTTTTATGACACTTCCTCCCACTCTTTCACCTCATACTCAAGGTTTCCTGTACCACTCAGACTAAACAGCCCTTACCGAGGTGCGTGTCTGTCTAGCTGTGTGAGAGAGAGTGTGTTTGCTTTTGTGCAGGTGCTGGGATGTGCTAGTTTTGTTTTCATGGCTTTCTTTTGGTCGTCAGTGATATGAGAGCCAAGTTCAATGTTGCTAGATCAGGACCGAAATACAGCCCAAGTTCTAAAATAATTATCTTCTAGAAAATAAGCAAGTAAATTCACTTGTTTCTGATTCTGTGAGGATCTGGTTTATAGATTTAAGGGGTCCATAATGGTCCATAAGAACAGTGACTTTCTGGTTTTCTATAAGCCAGCTAAGACATTTCTGGTGAACTGTCAGCTGTCAAGATGTCATTTTGTAGTCACTGCCTTCAAGATCTGCCTCAGGCCAATATCAAATATTGATGTACTCTGCCTGATTGAGACAAACTCTAAAGGGGGGTTGGATACTGACACACAATGTGTCGTATCATATCACGCCACGCTACATCTTTAAATTTATAACACATTGTATTGTGTTTAAACAGAGATACATCAGCTTCTGTCCACACTGCCCAACTATAGCTCCAGTTTATTGTACTGTTGTCTTAAACTGAAATAAGCAGGTTGTTTATATGGAAGATTCCCCGACACAAACATTAAATTTCACCGGATATTTGGCTGCTGGATTTTATTATTGTGGAAGTTCTTGAGAGGTTCCCACGCTTATGATTTATTATAGTATAAACTACAATCTTGGTATGAGGCTGTATACTGGAAATGAGCCCAAAAACTTAAGCACACCTGCCCATATTTATAATTGATTTTATTGAAAAGAAAACAAACCCAACATTGTTTATGTTATGTAGACATGGAAAAACAGGTCCTTGCATCTTTTGTATATTTTGTGACAGGCAGATGGCGCCAGTGCAACTTACAGTAATCTAAATGAGTGAGTATGAGTTAGACATCTAAACATGTGCACAGCATTTATTTAAAAACTTATGTTTTAAAGAACAAATTGCTTGTTAGGCATGTTTAGACTTGTCAATCCAGTGTGACCGAGTCTAAAAGGAAATTTTGTAGGATTATTAATATGCATAAGATCAGAAAAAACTTTTAAATCCATAAAAAACTATCCAGACTTTTCCGGATTCACAGTTGTGTTAAAGAGCAACATGGATTGAATAATGAGACACAAATATACATTTTGGCCTGGGAAAAAAATCTTTATTGTAATACAAATAAAAATTGACTAGTATTATTTCCCATCAAAACTTTCGTCTATGGTTAAAACTAGTTTAATATCGTCGTGTTGTGATTTCCTGGGCTAGCTGGTCTGATTGACCACGGCTCACATGTCCAGCATGCGCGAGAAGCGAGTCTTCATTTCCTACGCGCGCGCGCGCACACACCTGTACGTGGTGATGGACACACACACTTACACATGTGATCACGCCTTCATTACCTAGCGCTTTCCTTTTTCCATGCAACCTTGCGGATGACCGAGAAGCCCCAAAAAGGCGTCAGCGCTCCAGTCATGTGATGCCGATGATATTCAAACTGGGATTACGCACATACTGTAGAGTAGACCGCTATATTCTGCACGTAGACTGCTCATCATTACGCAGTGGAAATTACTTTATGTATGATTATTATGTATACATTACATTTAATAACATGTTGATATGTAACCAGTTATGTAAGTATACCTTATGCTGACAAAGGGGAATATACCAAGGACTAAGAAATTCAGGAATACATTTTTCACTCATTTAGGCTTTTCAGGGAAAATGTTATAACTGGAATAATGTGTAAAAAATAATAAGTTTATTGTTATTCATTTGTTATTTGTGTTATATAAATAACAAACATGTAAAGCATATGCAAATGCATTTAGCCTATAGGGTGATCATGATCTTGTATTTGGCTAAAAATGGCAAACTTTTACACACCCCCTTAAACGTTTACATATTTAAGTTTATTTTTACTTTATTTGGCCTAAACATAATGAGTGGTGAACACAGCCACCATGCAAAATGGTCATTATTCTGAAATGTTTTATCCCAGAATGCTGTGATTAACCAATCAAAATCAAGTATTTGTTGATGACATGTAAATACTTGGAAAAAGGGATATAATCATAGGTCTGCGACTCAATATTTTATTTATTAATGTTTTTTTTTCTTTTTTTGTATATGATTGATGTCAGCACGCTGCATTAACAGAAACGTTTCTCTTTACAGAAGCTCCTTTAGCTATCATTATGTCAAGATCTGCGCATTGAACTTAACTGAGTCCACGCTGACACCACCGTCGCCACGCCCATTACTGTGACTCGTCCAATGGAGTTTTTTTAAACCGTGTGCGCTGCAAGAACAGACCGACAGCTGAAGCAGTTCGTTAAAAACGGGCAACGGCGGCGTCTGATCATTCATAACGACAAGAGAGAGAAATCCAGAAGACAAATCTTAACAGGAAGCGGAATTAAAGCAGTGCTCATCCGTATGGACTAAAAGTACGCATGGATATCGCCTTCTCTCTTCAGCGCCTTTGTGTTCACTGATATCTCTGTATACTCCGCTAATAACACAGTGTCGGCAATACTCAAAGTTGTAACAGAGAGTGCGGTTTTTTCCATTCTGCGTCCCTTTACCAATGAACCCAACGCACTTGGAGACGGGTGGCAGTCTAAGCATGGGATTACTTCTGTGATGTGGATTGTAATAGCCTTGGAAGAAAAATTTGATTTACTTCTCAACAATGTGAGAGGACCCGCGTCCTGGATTCTCATATTCCTGGATATTCTGAAAATCATCGGCAACAGCTGAGAGACGCTGTAACATACTAGCTGTGGAGCTCAGTCTCGCTCTCTCAGGTGTCTGCATGCGTGTTTTGGGACCAACATGGGATTCTTGTTGCCCCTATAGGTCGGACCCTGTGTGAAGAAGCCGCTACTCATGTCTAACTTGCTTTCTGAGACCTTTACCAATGCTTTTGCTAAAGTGCGCCTATCATCGGATAGGGTTTTAAAAAGATTTATTCGCCTTTTAAATTCAATCATGAACTTTGCTGTTCGCGTGCTCCAGTTATTTATTGTGACGCTTCTGTATTTTTCAGCTGTCAAGGTAAGTTTTATATCGCTTACTACACAGTAGACACTTATTGGTTGGATTTGACAACGTTATTATGAATGTAATGTGCCTGCGCCACTATATTGGACGTCCTTGCGTTCTCCTTGCGAGGTCATTGACCATGTTTTTGCCAAGCTATTTAGAATTTCTTGAACGAGCATATCTGACCACCCCCCCACTGAGCCATTTAACACTACAACTGGGAGAATTCGCCAATATGCATGCACAATAAGAGCACATTTAACTGTTTGGAAGTTTGTTGTCGGTTTTGCTGAAGGCCCCTTTATAGCCACCTTAGTGATATTATTACGCATTAAAGGCGCAGTTACCGTGTGGGGCTTCCGATGGACTGGGCACCAACTTAGCCTTACCGTCCGCAGGAGACCATAATATAGGATTCAATTTGAGCCTACCTGATAAAAATCTTCACCAAATAGTCTTATTCTTGATAAAATTCCAAACTTTTTATTCAAGGTCATGCATGGATCCAAATTAATAATTTAATTGCAGTTTAATGTGCAAATAGCATCATTTAATTCTTAGCCAGTAAGTTGTATATACTAAACAATATAAAACATATCAATTATTATCAATTGAGTTAATGGCTCTGATGGGAGGAGGGAAAACTTCATTGAAAGTGTCCCAATAGAGTTTCTGGGAAATCTGAAGTGTGTGATATGTGACATGTTCACAGGTCAATATTGTGCACAGATCGAGTGACAATAGGCCAAGTTTAAGTCAAGTCTCGAGTCTATCAAGGCCAAGTCTAAGTTTAAAGCAATTTTTTTATCAATATTGGCATTCTGCCAGTTAATGTTATAAATACAAACAGCAAAATCATATATTTTAAGGTCAAATGAGTTAAAGGTATCTTCATTTTTAAGATAAATTATTAAAATACTTTTTTTTTCTTTTCAATAAATTGTAACAACCTCATTTATTGTGCAATGTTTATCAAGTTTAAAATTAACCTTATAATTACATTTTTTTTTGAAAATCAGTTGTTAAATAGATGCACTCAACCAAAAAAGCAAAAGACCAAGAAGATTTATAATGAGATTTGGCTTTGAAAATGAAATTAGTTAATTTGTTGCATCATCCTAAATCTGAGGTAATAACGCTGGGTTGATTACTAGTCAAACCTGTTGGGACTCTTGAGTTACAGTTGTGAAAACTATTAAAGTATTATTAATATTTGTTTATTTTTTTTACACAGAGTGCCTACATACCCAGAGAGGGAGGCAGAAGCACATATGACGGTGAGTTTTTGCTGTCACTCAGTAGAGTTGACCAGACACTGGACACATGCAGAGTTATTGAGCACAGGGCCCTCTGCTGGATGGGTGAAGAAAGGCACTGCTGTCACTGTAATCAAACTGACATTGTGCAGTGTAGAATATGCGTGCATTATTTCTTAGAGCTCACAATCCAGTGTGGTTTGTTTTATTATTTAATACACAAATCTGTAAGGCATTGGCAAACTGCTCATTGCTCAATCTCTGCTAAGCCCAGAGAACCCCACTATATTTTATTAAAATTGCAATTAATTTAACCACTAATCTTGCTCTTGGCAAAAAGAGTATCATAAGTGTACAGAATAAATATACAGGCTATTTCATAGTCTTGTTTTTGAGAGGCTGAGGGCAACACTAGGAATGTACATGGTTCAACTGAACACCCCTGTCAATCACAAATCCCTAGAAGGACTCGCAGATTTCCAAATAGTGTTGGCACTAAAAAGGAGCAAAGCCTGTTCCGACCCCAGTGGTGCAACTCTTGGGCAAAAAGATCATGTGTTTTTGAAAAGGAACTGATTTTCTCAATTTTATAATTCGCAGTAGTGCCATTCATGGAGGTGTATAACAAGTCTCTCTGCCGTCCTCGGGAAATGTTGGTGGAAATTCAGCAGGAGTACCCTGATGACACAGAGCATATCTTCATACCGTCCTGTGTGGTTCTCACCCGCTGTGCTGGGTGCTGCAATGATGAAATGATGGAATGCACCCCCACCGTCACATACAACATTACCTTGGAGGTCAGGGACTCCTTACTTCCACTCTCTTCTGTACTTTAATTTATTCTGCTATCTGTCTGAATCTTGTTAAGTCTGCTTTTTGGAAACCCTACACTCCTGTACCATGTCTCCCACACTCACACCCTTTATCTCTTTTCGGCCAAGGTAACAGGGTTTCTTCTGTATAAGAGTAGTCAGTTGTTGGATTCAGTTATAACTTAACAGTAACAATGTTTCTGTTTGTAATGTCTATAATGTGGTGTTTTAATGTGTATTATTGCTCTTTTTGTAGATTAAGAGATTGAAACCTCTTCGTCATCAGGGTGACATTTTCATGAGTTTTGCTGAACACAGTGAATGCCAGTGTCGGTAAGTATTCTCATTCCAGCGCGTTCATACACAGCTACTCAAATTAGGACATGCCATAAATGTACATTGATTTTACTTTCTTTCTGTTTTTACCACGGATCAAAACATTTTTAGTTGTTTGTTTAGTATTTAGGACTTCACTGTAAAGCCATGTACCAATAAAAGTGTATTTTCTAGAGGTTGTGGAATTGTTTTCCTCTGTTTTCAATGGAAGCACTGATTTTTTTTTAAATGGCTAATGAAGTATAGACCATTTTGAGGGATGCAAACAAAAACAACGCATTTCCTGTTTTACATTTGTAATTTCTATAGCTTCTGAGAATCCAAAAAGAGCCACATATTGACAAATAATGTTATCACAGCTGTTTTAACATTAGGTTATGATTGAATTGCCTCTTGTTACAGTTATAAAATAGTTTAATAACAAGCAGGAAATGTTCATGGACCAATGATATGATCACAATGAAATATTCTATAAATGTCTGTTTTACATTGGTTGGATGAATGTTAAGTTTTGGGTAAATCTCAGTGCTCATCACTATCAGTTTTAACTTGCAACCCAATCACCATTAAGAAAAGGTGGAGCAGAGATAACTAGAGCAAGAGAATTACTGATACTTACAGTAGCTGAAGCGTTCATTTTCAGCGTTCAAAAAGCTTAAAGATGATTAAAGTCAAAAGATTAGAGTAAAAGTGGAGTCAAATTCAGCAAAGTTTAGTACAGATTTATGAGCTCGCTGTCTTGCTCATTTCCTCTAGCTGCTCTGTAGCTATACTGGTATTAATTTACCTGATGAATGTAAATCAGCGCTTGTTCTTTCCTGCTCTGTTCTCTGTTTTGTATCTTTGCAGTCTTTAATTGTGTTTGTTTATTGTGTGCACAAACAAGCATGTTCAGTGAGGTCATGTCTCGTTTCTTTTTCAGGATGAAAAAAGATCTTCCAAAGGAAATAGAAAAGTGAGTACCATTGTTCTAGTGTGGTCATGAAGATGTGTGTGTGTGTGTGTGTGTGCATGGTTCTGTAGTCGGCTCTATTTTGTCATTTTCCCATCCATCGTTCTTGCATTCATTTTTGTTTCCTAATCTCTCTGCCTTTATCTCAGTCACCCTTATCTTCAGCAAGGTGTATTCCTTCCTGTTTTCCTTTTATTCCTAGTCCTTTCATCTCATTTTTGTTGCTTTTCATGGTACACAAAGCCATAAAATCTGATCGTGAAAGCACAGAGGAGTTCTTCATTGTTGTTTTTAAGCACGTGATCCAGGCAAACAGGTGATTTAGATCTTGAAAATCACTAGTAGCACAATTGTCAAAACAAAGCCATGGAAATAAAAAGAACCGGCTGAGCCCTTGAACAAGACCAGAACTACTGCTTTCCCTAATCCAGTCTTCTCCAGATAAACCGAGATACTCTCTGACCCTTGCACCACTATCTGATCTCACTTCCTTTTTGATGTCTTCATGTCATTGCACGTTGAGGTGTAAATTCAGTTCCTCAGGTGTGTAATGATCTGCTTGAACAAGTGTACAAGTTTTGCTTGCTAGTTCAGTGCCCTCGCCCCGCATTCATCTTCTCATCGGCTAAGCTCAGCTTTATGATCTGAGGTTCACTGAGGTAAGAGAGGGATTTGTCATCTCCGAAGTGTCTTTAAGTCTAGCGATAAGAGAGTTTTGTGCCTTTTGTTTATGAGCTTGTTTCCACTCATAGATACCGCAGCGGTCAGTCAACCCCTCTCTGATGACTCCCTTTCATTAGAGAATGTGGGCCGAAGTGTTTGAAAGTTTACTGTAGTTGATGCTATTGCAGAGGGTGTTGATCTTTTGGCTGATGTGTTATGGGTCAGAGGTTATCTCTAGGGGTTTAAAAAGTTTAAATGCTTTCTGGATCTGGTAAACAAGTGGCCCTTTGACACAGAGGCAGTTCCTCGGCAGAGCGCTGTGTTCACAGACATTGGCACAAAACATGATTGAATTTAACCTCTGGATATAATGTATGTGATTGTGGATGATAACAACACTGATGTGTAATTACAAATTCAACTTTATAGTCCCTATTTGTTGTCATCTTTATACTTTTTAATGCAATATGTTGTTTTAAAGTAATCATTAGGAATATTTAATCAAATATTAGACATTTTCTTCAATAAGCAGCTCTTAAAATCTGTTTTCAACTGAAGTCTGTTGTTTAAATAGCTTGAAATGTGCACATTTTTAAGAGATGCCTTCATGAAATGTATTAGTGAATGCTTTTAAATATTTTTAACGAGTATTACACACCACGCAATGTAAATGTTTATCAGTTGCTTTAGTCATACAAATGCATTGGCCACCCTGCTCTCTAGTTATATTCACTAAGCACTGAAAAACCCACAACGGTCAGCCACTATTGCAAGTAACCTTTAACAGATCATGGCAGATGAGTTTGTACTGTGATTGTGAGTCAGGGGAAAGTTCACATTCTTGCTGCCTGACGTGTGTGACGTGATATGCCAGGAGCTATCTGAAAGATAAGTAGACGTGTGTGTCACTAATACTGCTGATTTGCTGATTGATCAGTCTTCTCATTATAATAAAGCTGATCTTTAAATCGTTTTCTAATATGAGATTTAAGAGCGGCTAGTAGATTCCCAGCATTAAATCAGTTTGTCTGTGTTTTGCTCCAGCCAAGAATCCTGCCCAACATTGGTGAAGCTTTTGAAGATTTAATGCCTTGTTTATTTATTGAAACGTCTCCGTGAGAGAGAATCTGAGGAATTGGTGAATTTTCCCAGAGTCTGGCTGGATTTATAATTCACGCCCCTGGAGTTTGCTGTTGTGAACTAATACAAGGATAAGCAGGGAAAGATGTGTTTTAGTGAGACATGTTTTCTGGTTTCCATCTGGATCATTTTACCCAACGTTCACTGCAGTCTGATTGTGTGGATGATCTTTTGCAACAACTCCCGATTCAGTTTGTCTTTTCGATGTTCTTCTTTGTTTGTCATGTTCCCTTTCTAGAAAACCCCGGAAGGGCAAAGGCCAAAAGCGAAAGGGAAAGAAAAACCGTGAAAAAAAGCGGGATTTGTATGTCACCTCTGCGTTCGCCTCCTCTCACCTGCACCTGAGTGTGGCACTCTTGGTCGTCAAATTAATTTGGGAGGAGATTTTATGCCTCCTTTAATCAGCGCATTTTTTGTCAGATGTTTTAATTGCCATTAATCCATCAGTTCCTGCGCCACTTAATTAAAACTTACCATCCAATTGATCTCCGATCTCACAGAGCTTGATTCACTATTGCTGAAACACATGCTAAAACCATTAACAGTAACACTTTTTGCCCACTTTTTGTTTTTTCGGTTGGCACAAACCAATAGAGTGCAACAGTGACTGTCCATTTTGTTAGTCTGTATTATTTTCCCATTCATTTTCCGTTTCTGGTAAGGAGTTCAATGCGTCTGTTCCAAGATGAATCATAAGGCCTAAAACTCGAATACGTTCGCAAAAAAGAAGTCTTTTGAAGAATTAAATATTTATCCCATGCAGTGTTGTGAATGATGTTTTCCAAACAAAGAGGCAAAAGTCGGACAAGTTGGTAATTACAGAACTTGTATAAAAAGATAAATGCACACAGTACAATTTGACAAGATGTTTATTGCAAAATAATAAACTAGTATGGAAACTCTAAGCAGTGGTTTATGGGAATACGCAATCAGTGGACAAGGAAACAACCTTGTAAATGTGTATTGTACCCATTTTCAAGGTTGGTTCCCAGGTTCTTTCATCGTAGTACCTTGTTTAAGCAAGTGCAGCACTTCATGGGAATTTAGAAATGAAAAAGGTGAAAGCACCAACTACAAAAGCATCATCACTTAACTTCCCTTGAACCCACGGTGTACTGTAGCTCTGTCTGTATGTCACTAGAGAAAATTAATGGGTTTTCTATTTTTGGAGCCGTACAGTTGCACTCTATACGTTGTGTCACAGGGCCCAATAAATCAAGCTCTAAGATGGGAGGAGGTGGGCAGTGGGAATCTAGTCATCATTGAGACTCACACAACCCACACAGCATGGCTTTTATTTGATGGTACTAATCACAGTATTTGTGTTGGAATCACAACCTTGTTTGTGCTGGTTTTTCTTTTGGAATGTCGTTTGTTCTGATAATTCTTTTATTGTGTTGTGATTCACCATCATCCTCACATTGGTTCTGTTCTCTGACATATGAGAGGGTCTGTGTGAGGTTTGAATTTATTTTTTCATTGCTTTGAGTTTGGTCTTGTCATGCTGAGTGAGTTCTGCCACACAGCATTACGAAAGTCAAACAGCCTGTTTACTTTGGTGCTTCTCCCAGTAATTGGGAAATGAAATGTGTTTCAATGAGAATGAAAAAGCGTACACGAGGACAGTCTGCTCCTGTGGGACTGATGCTTTTGAGGTCAGTATTTTTCTGAGGGCTGGAGTTGGGGTTTATTAAATTAAGTGCTCGAAAGCACCACCACAACTATTCACACAAAATATTTGACATTGTTTGAAATGATTTAGGTTCCAAATTTGGGTGTAAAACCACAGTTCAGAGCTTTCACTGATTTCTACGAATATTGGACTTGTGACATTTCCTCAACATGATCTTTCTCTTAATATTCCTGCCTTTTCTCCTGTAAATAAAATGTGTTAAAACAGTATTTTGCTTGATTTTGTTCACATTTTTTTCTAAAGCCAAAAAAAAAGAATTGCTCAAAAAACTCTTGTGCATGTTTTTTTATTTAAAACATTCATACTTGTGGGATAAAGCCAGGGTTAGATTTCGAATTTAGACTGAGCCTAGCGCCTCAGAGCAATATTGACTTCAGATTAGGTCAGTTGGCACAAATATGTGTGAATCTTTCTCATGAAGTCCAGTATTTTGTACTGTACATATGTCCTGATGAACCTGATCCAATACGACAAGACGCAATAAACAGAACCTCTGGATTCTCACGCACTGTGCACTCTTTGGCTTTTATTCCTATGTGCTTTTCTAAAATGAAACCATTTATTATTGTTTTCATTATTTTCTTGCATCAACTGAGCTTGCAGGTGCATGGCCCCATCCTGCCTAACTTCAGCTATTCACACTCTACAACCGTCCCTTTGGACCCTCAGAAGGGGCAAAACCGTGGTTCCAGACCAGGGTGGCTCAAAAATGTACTGTTTGACTTACAGAGTGCCTGTGTGTGTGTGTTTGGGTGAAAGTGTTTAATAATGGCCATGAATAAGTGTCAGCAGTAATCTCCCCCAATCCTTGTCCTTTTCTCCTATTCTGTCTCTCTTTAGTAGTCAGTGTGAGCCTTGCTGTTCTACATGTTCTGAAAGAAGAAGAAGGTTGTTTGTTCAAGACCCAGAGACATGTCAGTGCTCCTGCAAACACTCTGAAGCCGACTGCAGGTCTAGGCAACTAGAACTCAACGAAAGGACCTGCAGGTGTGTTTGTAAATCTATACTTTTTTATATCTATCTTCACATGTTGGTGCAAGACAGCCCTTCCTGTTATTGCATTGTAATGTCTATCCCTTGGCAAAAGATGCATTGTTCAAAGTTAAAAATCAACAATTAGGTCAGAATAAAATGAGTTCTGTCATAATTTAATCATGTCATGTTAAACCAAACCTAGGTTTGACGGAATGTTTACCGCACAGGTAAATCTGCATTAGGGTACACAATTTAATACTTCTTGCTTTCCTCAGGAATTAAACCCATAACATTGCTGTTAATATTACAGTACTCTCATGTTTATACTGCAGTTTGCTTTATTACATACTATGTTTAAGGTAAAAATGATTTTGATGATTGTTGATGTACTGAAAGAGTTTAAAGATGCAATTTAATGAGAAATGTATGAATTGTACACACTTACAAGACCTAAATACCTGACAGTACATTTGAAGACTATGCTTGATGCATCTCTTCTGAAACTACAGTCAGACACGAGTCAAATTTGTTATTTGTTTGGCAGGAACCAAAAGGAGCAAGCTTAATCTACTTCCTGTCAAGAGTAAATCAATTGAGATGTAGTAGAGATTTCACTTGTCGTTTCTTTCACTTACTTTCTCAGATGTGACAAACCAAGGAGGTGAACCGAACTGACTTGAGAACGGACATGAAGGAATATTTCACCAATAATTCACAGCACTTTGAACTTTTTCAGCTTTGAACTATGTGTCTCATTTTTCCACCGTGGAAATATCGAGAGAATGAAGTGAAGTGGTTGGAGATGGATGTGGGAGGGTTTAGTAGTCAATGAAATGTCTGTTTGTATATTTTCATGATTTTCATGTGTGTGCTAAGCAAACCGAGAGACTCGGAGCACAGGATTTGATTTGCTGCTAAAAGGTCTTCAGACCTGCGTAAATGTTTCTGATCTTGGCTGGTGTGTGTAAAGTCATACCCGCGTTCACTCAATGAAACACATCACTGGATTTGGGTCTGCTGTGCAGTTTGTTTTTGTGAATCTAAATGTAAACAAGTGCAAACAAGTTGTTTGGAAGACTAATGCGTCAGCGTCCACTACGCGCTGTGGAATCATTCCTCCCAGTACATGAACAATGAGCACAACGTGTGTGTTTTTAGAGACAGACGATTGACTGGAGTTTCAACGGAAAGCGAACTGATTCTGCCATTGGAATGTCACAGTGGAAACCCGCTGCCTGCTGTGGTAAATGTTTGCACCAGAGCTCTGACCTTGACGAGGCAAACCCTACAGAATTTCGGTCGTATTCACTCCTTAAAGGGATATTCATTCTTTGACATGCTTGGAAACCACTTTTGAGTAAATCCTGTGATTTAGATTCCATGTTTCCACACTACTGGGGATTTAAGATGACGATTTTGTGCTACGCTTTCGTTGTCGTTTCAGCTCGTCTTGGAATTTTAGTCCAAATCTATTCCCCCTCCAAACAATTCAGTAATTTATAATTTTTTTTTAGAATATTTTCAGTGTTTTTTCTCTTTGTATTTAATTTGACCTATTTATGTGCAGTGTTATTCTTGCCCCATTTTGTCTGCAAAACTCCACACTGTTGTTCTGAGAAAAAAAAGCTTTTATTTTCCGTAGCTGAAAAGAGAAACATTCCTATTACTGATCAGTGAGTTGTGTTGCCAACTGCCTTGACTTTGCTGCCTCTCTGCACATGTGTGTGTGTGTGTGTGCCGTGTGAGCTCTAACAAACAAACTGTAAATGTGATTTGGTGTGGATACGAGGTTAGTGTTTGTGCGCGTGCACGTGCGAGTATGTTTTGGCGAAACACTCTTGATGTCAGTGTGACATACATATTGAATAACAATATAGCAGCCAAATGTAAATATAGGCCAAACCCACGTCACCATTTACTTCTACTATAATAAGATCTAACAAGCTGAAACAGTATGCTGAGGTGTGGTCTGATTCGATTGGAGTTTTACAGTTTAAACATTATTTATTTACTCTGTGTATGTAAATATGTTGAATATTAACTTTTTTCGTGTCTGTAATGTAGAACAGCATATTTATTTTCAAATTATATTGCTCTTTTTCTATAAAATTGTCTGAAAACTCGTTTCATAGTTGTGATGTGTTGGTGCCATTACGCGATAACAGTTCGCACAGGTATTTGTTCGGTAGGTATTTTTGATTCACAATAGTTTTCAGTATTTAGATCCTTAAATGTAAAATTTGTATAAGCCAGTGATATTTAAAGCACAAATTTGTATTATAAAGTAAATAATCATGTTTGTTCAGGACCATAGACCAAAAAAAGTCAAGCATTCATTATTTATGGGTATGTTAAGTCTATTTACATCACAGACGCAGTTTGAGAGCCAAGAATTTAAAGCAAATTTCCAAATATAATTCTCGTCTCTGGACTACAAATGTATTTTAAATACTCATGATCTGCTCTGCCAGATTTATCTTGTCCCAAAGAAAATGGGTGGACATTGCTTCTGCGTCGCCATATTATTCATACTTATTTTACACGTCTACCGTGTCCCAATTCTCAGTATTTTCTGCTTCCTGTTGTTGGGTTTAGCATAGGGAAACTTTTCAATGACACTGTCAAAGTCATTGACTCAAATGAAACCTAGGGTGTTTCTCAGGATCCCTTTCTGCTGTTTTTCCTGCACTGGCTTAAAAATTCTTTCAATGATTCATTTTCTTTTCAGCTTAGTCCCTTTTTTAATTAGGGGTCACCACAGCATGTTTAATGCGGCGGATGCCCTTCCAACCGCAACCCAACACTGGGAAACACCCATACACTCCTCCACATGTACACTACAGCCAATTTAGCTTGTTCAATTCACCTGTACCACATGTTTTTGGACTGTGGGGAAAACCGGAGCACTGGTAGGAAACCCACACAAACATGGGGAGAACATGCAAACTTCAGACAGAAATGTCCACTGATCCAGCCGGGGCTCGAATCAGCAACCTTTTTGCTGCGAGGTGATTGTGCTACCCACTGCGCCACCGTGCTGCCCTGGCTTAAAAATTTATATTAAAAATATCACCAGTAAGAAATATGATTTTGCTTGAGAAACAAATTCATTCCATCTTAGCAGGAAAATAATTGCGTGCATTCCTGGAATAATTACACAGAATTGTTATTTATTTTATAAATTTTTATTTAAGGGGTGATGACTAGAGTTGCATCACTGATAGAATCCACTTTAAAACCGTCTTTGAGCCCTACATTGAGTTTAGTCTTAGAGAACATTAGGTAGAAGTGTTTTGGTTTGGCAAACTCTATAAAACACACAAACGTTCAGCTAGTCGTTCCAGAGTGTTCCCATCCATCTAGCTAAACCTGAGCTGACAGGTCCATGTGATCATCAGAGTGCAGCCATCAGTAGATCAGTGTTAATGAGGCTTAGATTTAAGAGCAGTTTGTGGAACTTTGTGTGTTTGTTTTGAAACAGCTGATTTTAGCCTGAGCCTCGCTCCGCTCACACTAGATTAGCCACTATGTTTGACATAATATGACCACGTGAAGCACTTAAGAGCTGCAGCTTTACACTACCTATGAAATATAAGGTAATCCTCTTCCCCCCACCAGCACAGGCCCCTCGGCTTCTTAAATACCCGCAAGAATGTTGTAAGTGACTTAATCTCTGATTAGAGGAGGAATTTTGAGGTGGCAGGTTCACGTCTCCCTTGTAAACCATCATAGCATTGGGTCTACTGGTGAACTTTGCCCCATCAGTTTAACCTGGAGTTAAATGGCACGGACGGGAAGGCTGGAGGTTTAAATCCCAAATATTTGGTGCATGTCTGTCAATCAGTGAGGAGGGTCATTTTCAGCAAATAGTGCTTGTTATTGATATAATGAACTTGATGGTCGAGTTTAAACTCATTTCAGTGCATAATTATTTCTACTTTTTGCTTAGCGAATTAAATAATCATTAATTTTTTTTTTCGGCTTAGTCCCTTTATTAATTTGGGGTCACCACAGTGGAAAGAACCGCCAACTTATCCAGCACATGTTTTACGCAGCGGAAGCCCTTCCAGCTGCAACCTGTCACTGGGAAACACCCATACACACTCATTCACACACATACATTATGGATAATTAGCTTACCCAATTCACCTATAGCGCATGTCTTTGGACTGTGGGAGAAACTGGAGCACCCAGAGGAAACCCAAGCCAACACGGGGAGAACATGCAAACTCCTCACAGAAATGCAAACTGACCCAGCCAGTGATCAAACCAGCGCCCCCAAATTTGGTGCTGCCCCCAAATTAAATATTAAACTGTTTATTTTTACTCATTTTATTCTATATATACTCAGGCAAGTTACCTGTCTTTACTCATCCCATCATTGCATGTTGTTTTTTTTAAAGTCTTTACCCTAAACGCTTTAATTGAAATGAGTATGTCATAGACAATCTGTGTATTTTCTAATAATAGGCAGTTTACTTTTTCTTTTACTCTCACTATTTACCCTCACTCATTCAACCTGTCATTCATGGCTCAAACAGTAAGTTCAAAATGATATTATCGTTTACCTTTTACATTACAAGTAATGTCATAAAAATAAATGTTTTTAAACATTTAAAAATATATATATTTTTTACAATGATCCAATAGAACAATGGTATCAATTCCTGAACTTTTCTCTGCATAGTTTAGCTCCAACCACCTCCAACTCACATTGAATAGTCTCTAGTAGTCTTGAACACCTTGATAAGTTTGATCAGCTGTGTTTGATTAGGGTTGGAGCAAAACTGTGCAGAGCTGTGGCCCTCCAGGAATCTAGTTTGAGAGCTATGCCATAAAAAAAACATATTGGTTTCCCAAAAGAAACTCATTAACAGTTGTGCAATGAATCATTTTTTGTGTGTAAAGAATATTTAAAGATTTTAATGAGCATTTATAAAGAAGTATAAGATATAAAGTTCACAACAAAGAACCTTAAGTTGCTAAAAGTTTTTTTTTAATGGATGGCAATACAGAATATTTGGCAAACTAGTCATAAATATAACCAATGCGCTATTTCGGCTTTAAGAACTCTAAATTCCCCATGACCATTTTTAAAGATTTTTTTCTGTCTACTTTTCGAGATATTTAGATCTGCACAGTTCATCTGCCAGGCTTTGTTTCTTGAGAGTGAGCATAAAAAGAATGGATAGAGTATGTGCGTACAGACACATTGGGACATGCAGATCAAATGTTACAAGCTGTTCTTCACACTGATTTTATTGTTTAGCCAGCGGTCATAAATTGGTGCCATGTGTAATTGTCATGTCGCTGAATATAAACTGGAATTTACCCTCTTTTCCAACAGAGTGGTGTGAGCAAGGTCTGCGTCTTTAGAAATAAGAGGCAGTCCACACCCTACAGAGTAGAGACGTGCTCTCTGTCATGAACATACAGTCGTCCTATGGCATCATTACTCATCTGTCCATGTCTCACACCTGTGTGTGTGTGTGCGTGTTTGTGTTTGAGAGCGTCCGATTAAGGTGCGTGCTCACTTACACATATTTACATTTGCAGCCAGCATGTAGTCATCAATCCTATAAAACATGGATATATTTAACATATTCTTGGCATCATTTATGAATCTGAGTGAAAGAGCACGAGTAGGAGTGATTATTAATTTACACACTTGAAAGCATGATGGAAAACTGATGCGGTTTGCTTTAAACAAATGCTTCAGATCGTTACAAATAGTTTTCTGACAGTCTGCGTCTAATTCACTTAAGTTTGCAAACAGATTATACGTGATGACAGTTTGATCTTGAAGTCAAATCTCTTCCGTGAGAAATGAGCTTTGATCCTTTTGTGCAACAAAACACTGTCGTGTCGTGTAAAACAAAATTTCTTAAATTCAAACACAAGGAAACATGATTTATTTCCTTAACCACACCCACCTTTGACCAGTCAAAGAAAAAAAAAAGAGTCAGAGATTACAAAGTCTGTTCCTAATATTTAATGCATTTGCAAGAGTTTCACTTTTCTGTCCTGCAAAGTCAGAAATTAAATAGGGTCAAAAATATCTCAGATATTATAAAAGGATTTAATGACATTTAATATCTGACCTTATCTATTATCTAACATTCAAAATGCCAATGAAGAATATAATATAATTGTATCAGTAATATAATAAAAATATAGAAACTCTGCACATTTCAAATCTGTCAGAATTGACAGATCTAATGTACTAGAGAACGGTTACATAGCAAATGCTGGTCTTTGCAATAACTCCCTGGGAGTTATAATCAACTCAATTTGAGTGTACATGCGTGACCATCAAATTTACTCCCATGGGGAGTTAAAATGACTCTTTTAGAGTTGAATTGTAACTTCTATTTTTTTTTTCAAATTTGAACACTTTCTGGAGTTAAAATTGTATTCCTACAGAGAGTAGTTTTACATTTGGTATAATATGAACTCCTTATGGTAAAATTTAACACTAGTGTGCTTCAAACCTTATACAATTAAAGTATTAGAATTATTAGCCGCCCTGTACATTTCTTCCCAATTTCTGTTTAACGGAGGGAACATTTTGTTCAACACATTTCTAAACACAATAGTTTTAATAACTCATTTCTAATAATTGATTTATTTTATCTTTGCCATGATGACAGTAAATAATTCTGACTTCCGCTGTGTGTGTGTGTGTGTATATATATATATATATATATATATATAGTGAAAATGACTGAACTGATGCAATACTCTTCACTCACTGCTTTTATTTATGCAAAATCCACACATTAGATTTAAAAAAATTCATCAACGGACACACTTTAAAATTAATTGTCATCATAGCATTAAATGCAACAGAAACATTTGCAATTAATACATGTTACATGTGTAGATGTTATAAAGTGAAAAAAACAACAACTAAATTATATTACTGTATTATAATGATAAAATCGACACATTTCTATATGAATATTTTATTTTTTTATATAAATAGAACTAAGGAGGCCACTGGTTCGAGCCTCACCTGGTTGAGTTTGCATTTCTGTGTGGAGTTTGCATGTTCTCCCCGTGTTCACATGGGTTTCCTCCGGGTGCTCCGTTTCCCCCACAGTCCAAAGACATGCGCTATAGGT